ATTAAAAATAATTTATAATTATAATTATTAATTAAAATAATAAATTAATATTATTAATCAATAAATTAATATATTTAAATACTATAATTAACAATTTAAAAAATATATATTTATATAACCATAATATTTCCTTGCATAGCAATAATTATATCCCTTCATACCACCTAAGATCTATTAGTTACCATGTAACTTAACAATTATTAAATTACTATATTAATTATGAAGCATCACATATCAACTACCAATTAAATATAAAAATATAATGAAAATAATTGCCCATGTCCAAAAATAAAAGAAAATAGAAAGAGAATCTAATAACTATTTTATATACAAATTAAAAATACAATAAGCATATTACCTCTAAACATTTTAGTGAAAAAATAATAAAAAATATCTATTTTAGAAATTGTCAACCTGAAGTGGAATTGGTCATTAGAAATTAGTCATCAATTGTCCAATAAACAAATCACCTAAAAATGTCTGCTAAGTAATAGGCGGCTCCTATTAGCAAGGAAGGAAGTTTCATACGAATTATGTGTGGGTTTGAATGAAATAAAAAAAAATTAAGTAAAATTTTAAATTTAGGTATTATTTTTTTATTAACTTTTTAATATTTTATAATCATATTAAATTTTAATTAATTTAAAATTAAGTTATATTATATTAGCACATTTTATAATCATATTAAATTTTAATTAATTTAAAATTAAGTTATATTATATTAGCATCTAGTAATTCGGGTCAAGTAGTCTTCGAATCACCTTAAAAGTGTAGTTCCTCTCTTTCTTATGAGTTCGAAATTCGAATCTCACTCTTGTCACTTTGCTAAAAAAAAGAAGTTATATTAGATTTTAAATTTTAAAATATTTAAACTTAAAATTTTATTTAAAAAATTAAATTTTTTATATTTGGATCAATAAATTATTAATTAAATTTAAATAGTATAAATAAAAAAATATTAAAATTTTTTTTAAATATGACATAATTTAATTCCAAATTAATTTGACTTTTTAACCCAAGATATTAGTAGAGAAAATAAGGTTTGTTTCGTTAATGTCACCTTGGATGTATGCAGAACGAACGATATGCCCACGTGGCCAGCAGATATTGGCGGTGATGCCAACATGGAAGAAGTTTGAGGTTGACACGGAAAAGGTTAATTACATCACGCGCTTTTAACGTACATTTATTAAAAAGCTACTCCTCCCGCATGTGGTGCTAGGCGCCTCACGAGGATAATGACGTGCCACTATTTCGGTGGACTTCCATGTGTCGCGCACCGATGTGATTCTGCCTCTCCCTTCCTACACGCTAGCCCGTCCGGTGTTCTACACGCTCTCAAGCGTTAGAGACCCACGTGGTCACGTGCCCCCAAAATGGAGCCGGACTGCCGGAGCGAATTTCACTGTGCATTGTTCAGTCCCGCAGGATTAGAAAACGAGATACAAAATTTTATGTTTACAGTGGTTTGGGATCGTGGAAGTTTTTTTTTTATAGTTACATAATATTTTTATATATATGGATATTTAATAATTTTTTTTAAAATTATTTTTTTTAATTATAAAAAATTATAATAATTTTATATATAAAATCAAAAATCTTATTTTAAAAAATTTTAAAAAATATTTTTAAAATTTTAATTAATAATTAATAAAATTTATCATATTTCATTTATAATATTTTTAAAAAATAAATAATTAAATACTAAAATAACTTTCAGCCACAATTACAGTACAATACAGTCCAATTAAAGCTATCAACGGGGTCCCATGGGGCCGGGGAGTCCCTCCCCGTCCTCGCCCCACGGGGATTTTTAATGGGAGGTAAAATTTGCCTCCTATCCCCATTCCCACCAATTAATATAAAAAAATAAATTTTTTACATATAATTAATTAATATTCAATTATAATAAATAAAATTTTAAAAATTCAA